GTAGGACTCCATGGCGGGTGGGGTCAGTGGGCACTGAATCTCTCTCCTTAATTATGGATGCCCCATTCCAAATAAAAAAAAAAAATGTTAAAAATCTGCTAATTGGAAAACGACCACGCCTAGAAGACTCTGAATAGCAGTCTCCATCACAAAGTACACCTGTACCTCGCTTTTTGATCCTGCATTCACTGTCCGATAAATCTTTAGGGCAAATGAGCTGGTACATTTTACTTTGGCTTATGATATAGGTTAATTATGAGTAAATGCATTTCATCATTATGTTTTTACAATCACCCTTTCAGATACTTGCGAGCACGTGCAATGCGGACCAAATGCAGAATGTATAGTAGGAGGTACTGTATCCTCTTGCATCTGTCGAGAAGGATATGTGGAGGACCCAAACGATATCACCGCAGGATGTCAGCCAGGTACCCCTTTCAGCTATTGTGAAATAGTTTTCTTACACAGAAAGTACCCTGATGACTGTTTTTAAGCAAACTTAAGTTTTTAGCATTTTTAATTGTCAATAATCAATAAAATACTACAGTTGTGTTATTTTCAACTACTTGGGGCTAATTTCAAATAAATAACAGCAATAAGACAATTACTAATAACTTGTATTCTTTAACAAGCTACACATACAAATAGCATGTTTGTATGTGTGTAAAGGTGATGGTAAATATAGATATTGTGTATTAATGTAGGCAATTTTCATGATATTGAGAAAGGCATTAAAAGAACAGTACTTAAATCGTTAACGGTTATATATATATATATCCTATATAATTTATCTATTTATTTATTTTATATATAACATATAACCAGTTTTTCACAGCACTGCTATTACATTGGGTAAACTTGCTTCAGTAAAGAAAAAAGTCAAATTTATATGTACAGCTGCTTAGGCAAAGCATTACGGTTGTTTTATTCTTTTAGGACGTATAGCATAAAACGTGAAAATTAATTCCGGTTTTCCGTTTCTAGTAATATTGGATGAAGAAAAGCTACTACGGTTTTGCGTGTTTAGAAACGTTACCTATAAACCTGGAGAAGCGTTCAATGATGGATGTGATTACACGTGTGTTTGTGAAGACTCTTTGGAGGTGAGATGTCAAAATCGATGTTCTTCCGTTGTGGATCAACAACAAAATGGAAATCCACTCTGCGAAATCATCTCGGATCCTACGGATCCATGCTGCGACATCGTCGTTTGCGATTCACCTGATGAAAACGTTACTTTACCAGTTTCATCACCAATACATGTTGAGAATAAATACCACGTAAACAAAAAAATACCGAAAGAAAAGCAGTCGTCCAAGTCTTTTCAAATAAAGCAAGAAGATCAAGAAATTGTTTTAGAAAAGGGAAAGGACACGGAAAAAGTATCAACTGAAGAACAAAACCCTGTTAGAAACATGTGGCTAAAAGACGAAGATACCAAGACTAACGACCTGTTGGATGAATTTATGGAAACCAGGAACGAAACGGTAAAGGCTATGGATGACGCCTTAGAAATGGATAATATTCCAAAGGTGAAAACCCAAGATTTGGAGGGAGATTTGAATGTTAAGCTACGTAAAGAAGAAGAAGTAACGACACAACTCGCATTTCCTGTTGAGAATGACGTCACCGAAAGAACTCATTTTAAGGAATTCACCAAGAAGGCTTTTGAAAATGTAAAAGATGGAGAAAATAGTGCATCGATTTTGAAGTATGATAAAGGTATACGCATTTTAAAATTTAGGTAAATTCTAATTATTTCATTATATGGTAAAAATGATAATTTATCTAATAATTTCAATATGGTAAGATGTAGTTAGGCAAAATTTCTGAGAAAGAAAACTATGACACTATTCGTAATTATGATTTACAAAGTTGGTGTAAATGAAAATATAAATTGAGATATAACCCCAAGTATTTGGACTTAAACTTCCCTCCCTCCTACCCTTAAAATCTTTCATTGATTCAATTTTTTTGCAATTATATTGGATTTTTTTAATATGATCACTAGTAGCAATACCTTCTAAAATTATTCACTTCGAAATCAAGGTGTTCTTTTACAAAGTGAACCCTACCAACATCTATACATCTGATGAAAATAGTAATGTAGGAAAATTGTGTGGATAATATGAGCAACAACTGCTTTTTGTTCCATTTTTATTAATTATTATGTGTTTTAGATTTGCAAGTATTACCAGTTAGAATAGATGGTTGCAAGTTCAAGAATGAGACATACGAAACAGGAGATATGTTTATGGATGGTTGTGAAGCTATCTGTAATTGCGAAGGAGGAGGCAGAATATCTTGTGTGCCTAGATGTCCCTTGATGACAACCAGTGGCCCCAGATGTGTGGAATTACCCGATCCTAGCGACCCCTGTTGTCGAATTATGGTGTGTGAACCCAAAGGTTCGGGTCAAAACTCTCCAGATGTTAGAGGTAAGATTGTCGTTATTCAGTCACATTGGTTTGTCAGACGTAAATATTATATATATTTTTTTATTGGTGTCATTTGTTACTGTTAGTAAATTATAAATACTTGGCGACACGTAAGTCACTTATGAGAAAACAATTAAAACTACTGTAACATTAAGTTTAGTTTCTTCTACACAGCTTAATACAAAACCAAATTATCTATGATTCAACTGCTTAACTAAACGTAATACAAAATGAAATTATATTTCTCTCTTTCTTTTCAGTTATTATATCTGTTTTCTAAAGGGTTTCCGAAAAGTCTGTAACCGCAGCCACTTCAACGAATTTTACAGTACGTGTTCCACATGCTGTCCTTGTAATTCGAAACAAGTTTGGATTAATAGCAGGATAAACTCAACATTCTCCTGCTTTGGCAGCACCATAATCTCTCATGTATCTGAAATTAAGAAAAGCTGCAAATTGCCTATAGTTTCAGACTTTTCGGACACCCTTTATAATATTCTTGTATCTTGTTACTCACTTGATAATCTATGCGATAGGACCACTGAGATAATTTCAATCGGCTATATCATTCCTATTGTAAATGGCTACTATGCTATTAATTATATCTAGATCAATTAACTTGTGATAGAATTCTTAATGATCATGCCATTCCTATTGAACATTGGTTTTGTTAAATCATATTTCCTAACGATTGTACTACTGACAACTCTTGCTAATTCAGTCAAAGAATGAATACTAACAACACTTTTTACATAGAAGACATAACACGTGTAAGAATGATATCCAGATTTTCAAATGAGTGTTGGGACTTGATCAGCTAACATTAATCATGCCGTAATGCAAAACAAACTATACTATTAATTTGAAAAATAACTGTTTTTGATTTTAATAAAATAAAAAAGTGGTAGTAATTGGTCTCTATTTGAGTTTTACTTCTTCTGTCATTAACTTAACTGTTTGATTATATGTTTTTCTCCAAAACAGAAATAATTCTATGAACTTTGTTATTATTGAAAAACAATAATGGACTTGTAAATGCCCTTTACTTTTACAGTATTAAGAGTGAAACTTAATTAATAATAAAAATATTTTTTAGGATAAACTGTGGTTTTTAGTTGTGTTATATGGAAATGCGTTTTTAATGGCAGATTTGTTATTGAAGATTGAAAATGCCGAGGCTCTGAATGCGACGTCTGTTCGCATTCGCGTTGTTATCGCCCCAAATATAATAAAACCTGATAGTGAACCTTCGGGAATGGTCATTCAGGTGTGGTATACGCATACTCCGGAACCCAAGCAGGATCTAAAAGACAAAAATTGGATGAAGCAGAAGTTCTTTCTGGAAGATCTTCACCTGATCAAGGGTAATGTTTATGACGTCAACATTTTTGGATTAGAACCCAATACCCAGTACTACATCAAGGTAACGAAACATCCCAAAGGAGACCCGTTAGATACTGTTCCAGTAGCAGCTCTGTTCAGTAACACCGTTAGCGTCAAGACTTTTCCTCCACGTAAGTATACACAACAAACGTAGCCATATGGACATGGAATGCTTACGTAGCGTCACCTATTATTTTTGATATTAAATTATATAATTTTTATCTGAACAATATTTTTTTGCTTTCAAAGGCGAAAGTGCTTTTTTTTTTCGTACGTACATTTTATTGTTTGACCGTTGCTGTAAAATTTTGGCCTGATTTCCATCGATGTCGCTGCATAAATATTTATTGTGATTAATTTGAAAGACCAACTGAAGTTTATGATCCCGTATGCGTGTTTAACTCCTAGTTGTTTGTGTAAACGTGTATCCTAGAAAAGGTTATATATTAACTTGCAATTATCAAAAAATTTGGTTTATACTTTTCCAATTTCAACAACCAACTGTCACTATGTATTTGATGATAATAATAAAACAAATAAGATATATTTTATATGATTACCCTATTTATCTATTTATTCAAACTGTGGAGGAGTTTAGTACCAACCAAAGTACAGACTCTCCAGTTGACAAGTTTCGTTGCATCAACACCTTTGTATTATTATTATTATTAATTGTGTATCAGTGTTTTTATTGTTATAATTATTTTATATTTAGCACCAAGTATCTAATGTAGATAATATGATTTTGATACTGTTGCTTTTATTACTATTTCCTCCAATAATTTTCTCTATGTTATTCTTGTAAAAAAATGTCCAATTTAATATAAATAGCTTCTATCCTTTCCACACATTTTTTTTACCCTTTTATCTTCAGTCTTATATTTGCGAGGTATGACCTCAGTTCAGTCTTATCCTGTTCCCTCATGCTGCGTATTATTTCATTGACATCCTTTAGGGAGTCTGTCAGGAGTGTGTTCCTCTCGTTATCTTCACTGTTAATGGTCAAACAGACAATAACATTTATGTATGTATGTGTGTGCTTTGTATCCTGCTCCAAATAAACTGGACATCCAGTTTTTGCCTCTTACCGTTCAAATAGTATCCCATCGCTCCACACGGCTCCTGTCTATGCATTTACTTCTTTCCTGACTGAGCCACCCGTTGGTATGATTAGCATCTCTCGTTGCTCGTATATTCGGCTGTATTGATGTCTCCTACCTGTCTCGGGTGCCGATAAAATGCATGAGATGTGGTTGTTGCGAGTAGCTCTTTGGCTCTCTAGAATAATTTGTCTTGTAGTAATGCTACTCAAACCAAACCAAAAGTGCGATATGTTACATGCTGTTGATTTGATATCTCCTGTTGCTATTCTTATGCACCCCTCTATAACCTGGTCATTGCTAATTTTGCTGCTGCGGCACACAGGTAGATTTCACACTGCATTCTGGATATGACGGTTGCTTTCATCAGATTGACGAGGCCCCCTTTGCTGAAGTTTCTGGGCTGTAGCGTAGTTGAAGAGTAAGGCTCTAGTGATTTCTCTTGGACGATCGATACAAGTAAATATTGTCATTCTCTGGTCTATCACAACACCCAGAAAAGTGGCAGAGTTGGTATGTGGAACTTTCTGTTTGCACATTTCAAAGGTCTGATAACCAACATCTAACAGGCTATCTGACTGAATGGACAAATTGTTATCTATAGTCCAGTTACAGAGGCTTTTGCTGGCTTCTTGCAAACCCTCAACCACGTCATTTGGTGTGTGTGTGAAATGCTTGCAACAATTGTATCGTCAACGTATATGATGTTATTAAGGGACTTTCCAGCGCGCTGACCAGGTCAAACAACCGTGTATAGAGGACTTTATGAAGACTTATGTGACAACGTAGAAGTGATTTCAAAATTTTCGGATCTATATTTGCCGAATTTCAACTTGTAGCGTAGTTAATGTCTATCATGAAGATGACCAAGACTCCCAGAACCTTTATTCTCTCCATCGTAAGCATCTTCAAAGGCAAATACTGTTATGATGTCAGCATACACTGCTAGATGTGTGTAGCTCTTTGGTCTTGCCTCTCCTACCTTAGTAGCCAAATAATTTCTCTCTTCAAAGTCTCGTGTGAGTATTTTTCATACTGTTTTTTTCCATGAGCTTTACCCATACATTTGAATATAGAAGAATATATATATATTTTTAAAACACACTTGGCCAACATAACAGAATTAATCAAAACCTGGATACTTCTCTTGAAAATATACTTATTATTAATCTCATCAAACTTTGTAGAACAATAAAACGTAATGAGCTTTTGGGAGTAATTTGTTAAATGTTTACATAATTTTAACGAATTTTTTAAACCTCTACAAGTTTTTTTCTGCTTTTCCAACAAATACATTTGTTATTAGTCTATATCCCTTCTGTGTCTTTTTAAACAATCTTGGAGATCTTTCTCTATTTTTCCCTTGTATCGTTGACAAATTATTTCAGCTAGCTCTACTTTCTCCTCCATGGAGAGAATTTTTGGTGTATCTCGCACCATCTGGGCCTGATGTAAATTCCTCTTTTGGTTATTGAAGAATCATGTTTAATTCAGTCAGAGTTACTGACACTTCTAGCCATGGGTCAGCTTCTAGCTGAATCTTTTAATTCCCCCTTTTTTTACCTTCGATCTTCTGTGGCCCTACCACTTAATACTCTTTTGATAACTCTTGCCAGTTTCTAGAAGTAGGCAAACAATACGAGAAATGTTCTGTCAGCAATATAATCTAGAAGACTACAGTATCTCTAGTTCTCCGAGATAGCTTTATTAAATTCTATTCCTTCTGCTCTATCTCTTTCTTTGATTGCCCCTTTTAGGCTCAGTGTATGCTTTACTGGTTTTAATCTTCTATTTCTAGATTACTTATGCGGTCTTCCATTTTGGTTTCTTGTGACTATCACATTTATTTTCATGACTCTTCAGTCATTGCTCACCATACTTCTGCATTTACTCATGATAGTTTTTGATCCTATTCTATGTTGGAAGCGTGTAGTATGAATAAGGTTTTGAAACTGCTGTTTCTTTACTATAGGCATGAGTATAAGCTTGTGGTCGTTACATATTAGAATAGTTTCTGTTTCTGCAGAATGAATGCAGCAGATGTAGCAACGGCGAAATCAATAGCTCAGGCAAACTTCCTTTGCTGTTCTTCGTTACTGACAAAAAATACAAGTGATGTTTTGCAGTGCCTTCTCCAACGATCTTCCATTTATATTTTAGCTAATTTCCAGTCAGATAAGGATCCGGTCATTAAAGTCACTTGTAATTATGACTCTTACACCCATATTCACGATAGGATTCAGCAGACTAGTCCATTTCTTTTCATCTCTCATGATGTTACTGGGGACATACAAGTTGACCAGAACGTATCCCTTGTCAACAATCTTCGGACTAACTGCCAGTTTCTGTCCCACTGTTTTTAGGAACGGATACCTGGCAACATTTAGTGTTGTAGGCTACGTGCATTTCTAGATATTATCTGAACGCACTTTTTATTAATCTTTTTTTTTATCTTCTTGGCTTTCCATCCCTTTCCCCATCATGTTTATTATACAGTCCAAGTTGTACGAGCTCGTAGTTTAGGGTCCATATTGCTGCTGACGGCTCTGTTAACAGCTAGGACAAGCCTGGGAGGAACCTCATTGTCACGTGACCTTTAAGGTTGGAGCGGGCGGTGCCTCACATTGTGGTCGATAATCCATCTCTTCCCCCATTTCATAAAAAGATGATGACAAGGATGCTTGCGATAAAAAGCGAGATCAAACAATTTTACTACGTTTTGTCTTGATGTAAAATATCGAAATGAAAATTTTAACCACAAAGGCACCTTTCTCTCCCTCTCTCTGTGTTTATGTGTACACGATTGTTTTTTCATATTTGCATGTTATGTATGTAATATCCAATATAATATTTTAATAAGAAAACACCAAGTGTAAAAATCCTATTTATTGTCTTGTTTTATGGAAATGGTTTGTATAAAATGTGAAAAAATACAATTATCTATATCATTCTATAAATAAAATTTATTTATAAGTTAGACCACAGTTATCCTTTGTTAAGTATGGGAAAATATCAGTTTTTATAGCGTTGGATAAGTGGAATATGATATTTAAAAAAATCATTAACAAGAAATAAACATAGAAATATAAACGTATTGTTATGGAATTGAAAAAACTTTATTTACCTAGTCTTACTGAATGTTGCTCTATTAAAGATTTTTTCGTAATGTTCCCTTGACTACAGAGGTGCAAGGTGTATTCCAGGGATGTTTTTATCACAACCAAAGCTATGACCCTGGGCAGGTGTTCTACGATGGCTGTGAATTGAAGTGTGTGTGCAAAGAACAAGGTCGAATTCAATGTTTAGATCGGTGTGAAATCTACAAGGATACAATAGGATTTGAAGAGTGTAAGTGGGGACCTGCACCAGATGATCCTTGTTGCATTATTCCTTATTGTGGGGATCAGCAGGAAGAACTGGACCAAGTATCGCCAGGTATGAAAACAAAACAACAAAAATAAAAGTTGCCACCTAAAGATATAAGAAACATAATTGGTTGTCATTATTTGCTATCAGTTTGTTATGGATGTTTTTTTTTTAATTGAAAGGTCCAGATGTTAATGTCACGGGTGTTGTCTTGGAATGTGAACTAATACTGTACATTACAATTTTCGGGAAAAAAATGTTGGCATACACGTGGTCAGTTATGGGTGAAAGGTCATTTTTCTAAACCAAGGTAAATAACGTTTTAAAAGATAAGATTAAATCCAAATGTTATAGAAAAGTCAATAGACCATCCGTTTGGTATATATTTATTTATTTATTTAAACAAACATCTAACACAAATGGTATAATATCCATCAAGCCATCTTTGAGTTAACAAACAAAACTAACATATATTTTCAGTTTAAAATTATTTATCGACTTTTTCTTGAGGTTTGAAACCCAATATTTTCTCCACAAATTAAACACAATTACTCTTGTTAAGATACCTAAAAACGATCTATATGTTTCTTTACTTTTTTACATTGTAAATGTAATCAAAATAAGTTTCTTGCTTGGTTAATCTTAAGTTTCAGATTAAAAAAACAACTAAAACTTTCAGATCCTAAATGTGATTTGGAAGTCCCTATGCAGCAACAGTTTGAATTTGTAGTCAACTATAAGTAGTAATCTTAGGTTACAAACAATTCATCTTTATTTTGTTATTTTATATGCTTATCCATAATGATCGAGAGCGTTAAGAACAACTAGTTCTTTGATATTTTAAACTGGATTATTTAATGGGAAAGTTATATGTATACAATCTCCTGTTATCGTTAACAATACTTTCAACTTCAGAAACCTCTATAGAACTCCCTTCATCCTCACGTGTATTGTGTACGTCAGAAGATGGAAAGTATCATCGCTTAGGCGACACATGGGAGCAAGACTCGGAGTGCAAGCGGTTGGTATGCACGTGTGTTTTGAACTCCAAGGGTTCCACAATGGTCAAGTGTGAAGGAGGTTGTCCTCCAATCCCAGCCGATGCACGCCAACCTAGTTCAGACTGTCCACAGCCAATTATGGTCACCCCGGATGACCCTTGCAAGTGTCCCTATCTTATATGTAATAATGCTGTCAATTGTAAGTAAAACATTGATATAATTTACAAAATAAATTATTTGTTTTATTACTGTATAAAACTCGCTTTCTTATTTACGCATATTTCATTATCTTAATTTCATTAGTTGTCCGAAAACTACTAATTCGATTTTCAAATACAACAGTCACGTTTGGTAACACGCTGGAACTGTTAATATTGTCACGGCGAGGTGCGATAACTTGATTTTATCTCACGAAGTGGCAGTTGGATATGTTAGTTTAACATTTTTCTTGTAAAAAGACATTTTCGCTTTCTCCTGTACAGTTATAATTTTCAACCTGGAGGACGATGTCGTTTTGTCAAATTATGGCTTTCATAGATTGTCTCATAGAGATCATTTGATATTCTAAAGCCAGATAAATACACAGTAAACCCAATAAATTTGGACATACTTAGTTAAAGTAATCATCATTTTTTCAGTATACAAAACTGACATGACATTTTTTAAAAAAGTTTTGTAACATTGTTTACTTCTTGAGCACTAGATTAATTATAAATGAACAAACATGTCAAGGCATTGAGAAAATAAATTATTGCATAGTTTTTTTGAGCGATTTTATTACCTGGCGTTTAAACTTGGTTTTTTAATAATAGTTTATTTTCTGTTTGAACATTCTCAACATCAGCTTTGACTTACTATTGTTGAAAGGTATATTTTTAATGTTGACTAGAGGGAGATGTGGGTCCTAATAATAACGTTTAGATCAAAAGGTTTAGTAAAATAAGCCTAGAAGGATATAACGTATGGTTTTCTCGTAAGTTCGAAACTAGATTATAAATAAGAGATTGTTATAAAGTGTGTGAAGTTCTTCAAAGAGTAGAGTGAGCTAAACGATAGTCATGGAGATAATGTGTACAGTTATTTGAAGATAGTTATTTCTAGATAGTTGAATCATTCAGTGTGTTTTCGTGAAGTGTTTGCTATCGTACATACTAAGTTACGTTTCATAGGTTAACGTTACTACACTATGTGAAAAACAAATAAACATTTGTAACGTAGGCTTACAACAATTTACCATAGTGTATAAGTGTTCAAGCTTGTAAAAACGATTAAGTGGAAATAAATTATATATCCGTCAAAGAAAGACAAACGTTACTACTTTATTTTAGTAATTTTCAGAAAACAAATTAGGTGCGAAACTGTAAAAACTTGTAATATTTAAAAAAAAAAAAGATGAATGAGACATTTGTTTGATGTATTTCGCTCACAATGTCTTAATATTGTTGATATAATGATATAGTTGCCCACAAACTTTGAAACAAATAAGGTTGTTAAAAATATAGTGATAAAGCAATTGACGTTTTTCATCGTGCAAACAACATACTACACGTACAAAAATGAAAGAAATGGGTGAATTCATTTTTTTTTGTAAATACGACGAAATGTCGACTCCTCTTGTAAGAAGTTACTAAATGATTGTTATTTTTATCTCTACCCAATAACTTAAGAATTTACATTAATTTTCGACATTTCAAATTTAGAACTGATTTTTGAAATGACAGTACCACGAATTATCATTAACTACGGCAGTACTTAATAGTAGGGATCGTGATGAAACAAAATGGAGGCCACAACTATTGCCCGTTTAAAACCATCTTTAAAATGTCTGAATATTAACAATGACTATTTCACAGTATTGGCTGAGCAAAACTAAAGCTTGCTGTACGTATAAAGCGTGTTTATGGAGTGAATCGAAATTTCACCGTTTCAATGAATTTTCATTTAAGTAAGTAAGTAACTGACTTTTCTAGACAAGCGTTCAGAAAAAATGACAAACCTTATCACTAACTTTTTCGCATTACTCTTCCGTCTTGGGTCCCAATTATTCCTTTCTTGTACCGAAAAGTGCATACTAATATAATAACAGTGATTTGCAAACGTAGGAATAAATTTTTTTTTTTTTAATTTCAAGTAACTGTTTTTGTAGTTTTGAATTTCTTGGCTCAGTACTATTTTTTTAATTGAAACTTTCTATATTTCTATAGCTAGTCAGGTTAAGTATATATATCCATTTCTACTTGTCTGTATAAAATTTGAAAATAAAATTTGTTTTATTATACTTGTACTAAATTTGAATCATAACAAAGACTATATATGGAGACAATGAGTGAAATATACTGAAATACTAGTTTGTGTTAAGACATGAGTACTGAAGAGAAATGTCTTATTGTATGGTAACTTAGTTTTCGTTTTGCAGCTCTTAGTGCTTCCATGCCCATTTGTGAATACAAAGGCCAAACTTACCATGCTGGAGAAGAGTTCTATGACGAGTGCAGAGCTGTTTGTCACTGTGGTCCCGATCTGCAAGTTAACTGTGCACTTATTGAATGCCCTCACCATTTTGCTCCTCACGTCAGTGAATGCCTGGAATGGGACATCGACCCAAATTTTACACCCAAACCACCCAACTGTTGTCCACCACCTAGATGTATCAATGGTAAGTCTTGTTAAGTTAAAGCGATGTCAAACTGGGCTTAACCCTTGACAGATCAGATGGTCAAAGAGTGAGTTGTCACACAGAAATACCGACCTTCAAAATTCTATTCTATAGAACTTGTACAAAGAGTTCATGAACGTAGCAACGAAGAAACCATAGATAACCACAGATATGCCTTTAAAGAATCTACAGGAAAATTTTATCAACTCTACAAGAGTTTCTTGTATGACTTTCATTTTGTGTGTGAAGTTAAATTCCGGTATAATTGTATAGTATTCCTCAGCCATACAGCAAGAAAAATGTTTGAGGTAAAAATTATTGCCGACCTCATAAACAAAAGTTAATTCAGCCTCACTTGTCCTAATGTTTGAATAAAGTTTATTTTTATTTTTTTAAACTTCAATATACCCTAAACTAGATTTGTAATGTTTACAAGCATACATTAGCCAAAATATTTGTATAGACATTTCGCAACCAGAACCTCTTTAATGTTGGAAAAACTATTAATCCAAATATCTCGAACATGGTTCTTAATGTTTATCAGATTTCCAGCTTTTTTAATTCGCCATACAGCAAACTAAATTAATCTAGTTATGTGAATAATGTTATAACATTGCGCCTAATTCATTATTCGATATTATATGTGGACCACCTGTTTAATGATATAAATAATGTTAGACTTCTCTTTCAGCAAAGGTAAAATTGAAAATAAAATAAGTGACGTAGAGGCCTAATTCATTTTTTGATTGTTTGTACCCACTTCCATGGACTGCAGTTTCGCCTATTCAAGGCTCATCAGCACAGCCTAGGTCAGAAATCCAGTTAGGCCTATTATAATGGTGATGTGTTATTCTGATATGTCAGAATAACAATTTATGAATATAAATTTATTGTTTTGACCAATTAAGTGATTTACTCATCCAAATAATGTGTAATTTTAAGTAGTATTGAATTTGAGTCTTGCCAAACTTATTTCTCTATGTATATTTAAATATTTCAGACGGTTCCTGTATGGTTCATGGTATTAAATACAAACATTCACAACCAATACATGAAGATACAAGGGAGTGTGGTAATAACTGTGTTTGTGTCAATGGTAATGTGACTTGTGAGAACAAATGTCCGACATTAGGAAAAATTCCTCCTCCAAATCTTCCTTGCCCCTCCGATTCAGCATACAAAGGACAGCCCCCTGATGACAAGTGCTGTATGCAATGGATGTGTAAGGACCAGAAAGACAAGGTAAGAATAACATAAAGTTTAAAACCTTTTTTTTTTCTTTTGTTTTTGCTTGCGGGTTTTACTTAACATATGACTGATATGTTTACTAAGCCTACTTTTTCAAATTTTACAGACGACAAAGATTACGTAGACCAATGGAACTGATGAACGTTTATATCTGCAAAGACAGTGGTTTGCGTGCGCGTATTCTGTAAATTTAACACTTTTCATCTTTTTCGAAAACAAAAAATCGATATATTCCTTCAGCATATATCATTAAATAATTAAGTATAACGATATATATCAAGTAAAAATAATGGAAAATAAATACATATATAATATAACTTTTAAATAAAACTAACTGTACGAACTGTTAAATTAATAACCAATTAGGTTGTAGTCAAATTCTATTAATATTCAATAAGTGTCATAGTGTTGATGTTGTCTTTATTTAGGTGCAATTCTTTCTTACAGAATAACATTAAATAACAACTGAAGTTTTGATTCCGTGTATTGACCAATAAAAGCAAATACATTCAATAAATGATAAACGTTTGTGTAAAGTTTAACTATCAAGACCTTTTTTTTTATAGTAATTGTACTTTGTCCTTATTTTTTTCGAGTTGCATCGTTCTTGATGAAACGTGTTTAGTTATTCACAATGAAGCCCTTAAGTTTTACAAGTCACGGCTAATACATAGTTATTTAATTTGCTACGTTCATATTTTGTGTTTGTCTAAAAATCTCGAGACTAAACGAAAGAAACCTTTACGTTAAGGATTAATGATGTCTCGGAAGGCGTAGTTTATCAAGTTTTTAAAACCTTCCAAGTTGTTACAGATAGTCATAGAATTTATTCCGATTATCCGAAGAATTTCAGATATCAAAGCAATAACTTTAGTGATCTAATTAAGTGAAACGTAGGAAAATAATCTTAAAAAAATAATTATCGCCTGATTGCCACTTTGAATATAAATCAAGCTTACGAAAGTGAAGTATAGATGAAGCTGTATATTAATTATAATTGCATTCACTAGAGTGTTATGCGAGCCATCTAGTTTTCTTCGTATTTATGAAGTTAAACCATGTAAAAAAAAATTCTTATAGCGCAATATTTGAAGCCAAAATATACGAATTACTAAAACGTTTTTAAAAAGTTGCTTCTTTATAACAACAATAAAACATTAGTTGGTCTATACTTCTTACTTAAAGTACACAGTTTTTTCTTTGCAACCACGCTCTTCCCTGATCACTTGTAAAAAAAAATAAACAATTTCGCTAAAAAGTATTTTAAAAAACTTTTATGAAGGCTAAAATTCTAGTTTCTTAAAATATTCTATACCTCAAAGGATTTTAAATTCAACTTAATAAACATTCAGAGCGTAAATTCCGGTTAATACTTTCTATAATGCTGATCCCATCTTGGAAGGGGGCCATTAAAATTCATCAAAGGCTGATTGGTGTGAAGCCCAACTTTGTTTTTAATACTTAAACTAATTGACTAGAAATGATAAAATGTTACTTAACACTCGTTTTCTATTGCAACATTTTCCCGTAAAAACAAAACGTCATAGCCTAGTGGAATCAGAATTACTAACAAAATATAATCACTATATTTATTAACCACTATGCTTAGTTTTGTTATGATTTTAAAAAAAACTGCAACTAAACTGTGTGTAATTACATCAAATGTGAATGTTTAATTACAGTTATTTTTCAATGTGATTTTATATCTAAATAGTTGTGTTAAAGCAGCTTTCTCATAATGTTTTTGTATTAATACGCGAATAAAATTAACAACGCGCTTAATATAACTAAACTGAAATATATCTCTTTCTAAAAGATAGCAAGGAAGGGTTTTGCTGAGTTTTTATGATGTTTACTCCTTAATCCAAAACGTTGTCAGCACACTGGTTCTACATGAAGTTAAAAAACAACAGCAACATTGGAGTGATTATCGGCGCTATAAGACTTGTTTCTCGATCATCAACATTAAGAATTTTTGATACTACAAGAAGCCAGATTTAGTGATCTTATTGTCCATTTTTATGTGATTATTACTTGGAGAGTTGGACTTACTGAACACGTGAATAAAGTAGATTCTGAAGCTTTAGTGGTTAGCATATCAGGTTGAGAATTTAGAGGCTCAAGGTTCGAGCCGCGATATGCTGCTTAACACGCTCCACACGTAAAATTGTGAGTGCGTTGTAAAAGTGACGGTCAGTTCCGCTATTCGATTAAAAGCAATTTATATAGGCGGCGGGTGCTTTATCTGAAACTTAGTATCTCTGGATCTGACTGTTTAGATCACATGTCCCATAAAGTACCGTTAAGCTTCCAAGTATCAAATACCCTTTTTTTAAGCTAAAAAAACTTTATTCTGTTTAAATTGCAGAAATCGTCTCTTGGCGCACACTATAAATACTCCTGTTGATCACACCACCATGTAAATATGCATTTTATTTGTAAAACTATAAAACATTGTCACTTTAAGCTAGTCTACGAAACATGTTTAAATAGTAATCACATTCGTTCCAATTATCTTTCAGCATTCTTTTATGAATTCAGCAATTAACAAATATATTAAGTTACATATTGAAGTGATTAGGAGAACATAAGCTACAAATACGTTTTCTATGTTAGGGTTTGCAGAGAGAAATTAGTTTTAAAAGATTAATATATAAAAAATCTACACATTAAATTAGTGTAGAAGTGACGAAGTGTTGCGAACAGAAGAAACATTCTTAAAAAACTTAGAAACTAAGTGATATTGCTCCCTCACTTTACAAATCCTTTAAATATATTAAAAATGTATACAGCAATATAATGGGACATCAAAACGCCAGCCACCTACAGTGTTCATATTCTAATAAATGCACAGGTTGCTCTAATAAGGAGATAAAAAAAATCAAAGAACGTCAACTTTATGGATAACAGTTCACAGAATTAATCATTATTTGAAGTACGTGACGTATTTTGTTTAAAACTCAAAAGGTTTTAAGTTTCGTACATATCTTGAAGATGACGTGTGGTCCAAGTACTATCACTACTCAACGTTGATGAGGCGATCAAGTCATCCACCTGATATTTGTTGAATCGGAAAGAAAGAACATTTAGCGTTCCGTTTGACATGATAGAAAATCTTTTGTTGTTGTTATGCCACCACACAAAGAATCGTTGTTGTTATGCCACCACACAAAGAATCATGTCATATAAAAACCCAAAAAATATCGGCATTTTAGAGCGTTAAAAATATGTTCAAGACTGTAAGATTTAAATAATGAATTGTTATTAATTAAGCAGATAGCTATTGATAGAGGATTTGAACCAAATATAGTAGACAAAGCATTTAATAAATTTAACAAAAATGCAAGTTCTGTTAAAAATACCACATTAAAAAATGATTTGGTTTTTATCACGAGTTTGTAACCGGCGGATGTAGAAAAGTGTCTTGAGCTCGCACATGCTTACTTTGTGTGTTTTAGCTCTCAGCGTGAATTTGTAGAACCTGTGTGCTAACTGTTTTTGTCTATATTGTTGGGGGGAGGATATCATGAATGAAGAAAAAAAAAGCGTGGCCCTTCTGAGTTACCGTACTAAAAAAATAAATCGTAACACTAAATTATAACTGAATAACCCTTTCTTAATAGACTTCTGTTACCACCGTGATAGACGGTACAGGCTCGGGGAGCGCTGGGAGGTGTTGAAAGGTTCTGTGAAAAGGCAGTGTGTGTGTCGCGTGGATAACAAAGGAAACCCAAATGTGGAATGCGTGGGTGGCTGCCAACCGATCCCAGAGAAGTTTAAGCAGCCCAACCCACATTGCCCTCGACCAGTATTGATTACTCCCAGTAATCCATATATATGTCCATACGTTGTCTGCAACAACACGGACTCAGGTAAACTAAAAACTGTTAGTGATTTTTCTCAGTAATGAAGTACTAATGAAGATTTAAAAAACTGATCTTTCAAGCTAAGGTGATTACATTAGGTGATTACATTTCTCTACTAGCCTGCAAAACTCAAACCTTTGTTTCTGCTGAAGTGCCGTATTTATATTTATTAAACTATTACATGCGAAATCGTGTTTTGAAAATAGTTTCAAGTGTGTTTATGGGAGTCAAAATAGCAAAGATATTTTTAGTTTTTTATATATTTATTTATTTATTTTGAAACATCGAGTCCTTCATGTTTGAGATGATGCATTTAATAACACATTTCTGAATATATGGATATTAAAAAAAGCAACCCATTGCTTAACGGAAAAGTATTAGAAAAAGCTCTAGACGAGATTAGGAAACCTAAATGTTTTTATTGTTATACATGTTTTGTTAGGTTTCTCAAAAATAATGTTAATAAAACCATTTACTGAAATATTTGTGAATTGTTTCTTTTTTTTTCTTAGCCTCAGCAAATTTACGTTAATAACGAGTTTGGTTACATAACATGCTCTGTTTAAGAGGTAAAGCACGTGGCATCAATACAGTGTGGTTGAAACGCCTCTTGCAAATCTTTAATGGAAAGAAAAAATGTTCGTTTATTATAACGCCTTGTTGAAATAAAAATACACGAACTACTAGTACACAAAATTAAAATATGATACCCTACGACACATATTTGACATTTTTGCTTATTTAGGATGTTTGAGTGTTTCGTATGGTTTGGAAGTTGTATTGTAATCATGACGTTAAACTATGAAACTATAGACTTAATAAATTGGAGATAGGAGAAGTTTTAATTATATTAATTATAAATATATGAAAACACCAGGTTTTGAAAATGGAATTATGGCGTTTCTTATCCCAACAACTTGGTTTCATAATTAGTGTTTGGAGTGTCTGGCTAATTGTTTTTAAGAAGAAGAATTGTTATGATTTAGTCTTAAACCTAAGGTAAACACAATATTTTAGTATTGAATTAGATAAAGGGTATAGTAATGTATTTCTATACCAGGGAAGGAACTTCAGAACGTGAATGCCCTAGCGTTGAATGCTACTGCAGCTAGGATAAGATTCACTCTTCCGTCCCTTCTAGTGGGGCTTTTGGGTCACGTAGAGTTGCATTACACTACTGACCCATCCATTCCGGAATCCGAGTGGAACGTACAGAAGTTTGCGCGTCCCAAGCGATTGTTTGACACTTCGAACATCGAGCACTACGTTGGTGGTCTTCAACCAGAAACCATGTATTTCTTCCAAATCCAAATAAAGATTGACGCCCTCCAGGGTGGACCCAAAAGTGAAATTTTCAAACTATCTCTTCCCGCATGTAAGTAGTGTTGCATCCTAAACTGTAGACAGAAATATTAAGCTAAGAACAACCGAAGAAATAATTGATTTTATCCCTTAAATATTGGTGATGCAATTTCACCGACGCATTCCTTAGGACCAGAAGATGTGTCTGTTAATGTCATGCGAGAAAAACTTGTCATTCTCTGGTGTTATGCGAAAAATAAAATGCATCTCCAGTATTACGACATCTACCAGGTTTAAATAAACGGCATATCAATCGTACGCCTACTTTGTTGCAAACGTATAACTCTTGTGAATGATAACAAAAGATAACTAAAATGACAAAATAAATAAATAAACGGTGTTGAAATTAAAATAATACTGTGTTATTAATTATTGTCCTAAAGTTTGATTTGTAAGTTACTTAGATAAAATTGATTCTAATTACAATAAACTTGCTTGATCAGGTTGATACCGAAACAGTAGTTTTTCGTGAAAGTTTATATGTATAGCACCTAAACCACTACTGTATCCGTCATATCCCAGCCAGCTTGATGAGCTCTTGTATTGGGCAAAGGGTCTCGTCGACACTAGCTATGAAAGATGTAATGTATTTGACATAACATATTCTCCTTTGCTTTCACTCATGGGTTCTTAGAATTTGAATATTTTATCTTTGTTAAGTCGTTCTACTCATGGTTATGTATTAAAACGATATGCTACAAAGTTGAGTTTGAATGTCCTAAGACTCGGCTTATCTGCCTACAGGCCAGGAACGATTTTCAGACATTATCTACAATTAATTTATATAATTCTTTCTTTATAATCTATTAACTCCACTATATACAACTGACTGGTAATTTTGCTCTTTGTTTGCTTTCATATAATAATATTGTTTGTTAATCGGGTGATCGTTTACTGAAATTGAAAATACAGTGTGAGGCAAGGGTGATAATACAGTTGGCTCGTCTAGAACTCTGAAACAACCAATTAAATTTGTTTCAGTTGTCTTCCTAATGTTTTCGTTAGCACTAATCGTATAATAAATACCAACTATACTAATGTATCGTAACTTTTTTCCCATACATTAATCTATTTCATCAGTGAAAACTTCTACCAAAACAACCACCACCACAACAACTCTACCTCCGATGGTCATGTTGGATGCTAGGTTAACTTCAGAAAGCATTACTTCTAACACCGTGAAAATATCCTGGCGGGATTTTGAACCTCAAGAAAAGCGGTTTATCGATGGAATTCGACTGAAATATAAGAAAGTCGGTGAAGGCAACGATCGTTGGACAACAACTCCCATCATCCATCCTGATGTGACGTCGTACATTCTCAGAGATCTGGAACCGAGCACTTCCTACGTTGTGGCTACTGAATTTATGACTCCAGGCCATTTGTCTACACATCTTGTATCAAACAAACCTGTGCAGATAAAGACCAAAGCTAAGCCTAAAGGCGAGTATGATTAAAAACAACGAATCGTTTTAAGCAAAATAGCAACAACATTAGTTCTAAAAAAACAACTCAAAAACGTGTTTATTAGATATCAGTGAATCAAATTTTTTTTTAACAGAAAGAGTAATATGTGAAGATATTTTCTTATCAGGTTGTTCCATTTGGTTTCTACTACCACACGTTTTATCTCCTTGCTTTTAGTATGAAATATACTTAATGTAGTTTCAACGTTTAAATAAAATGTTAGTTACTACTGTAATAAACGCGATTAAAAGTTCTAAATTATTCACCAGTTTTGGTGTTTTAACTGTTACTCGTAATTTTATGTTACGAAACCAAAGATTTTGTACCACCGCTTAAGTTGACGCCAAAACATTTAAATTTTTTATGATCAATTTTCATAATTCATTTTCATTGAAATCTGTATAAATACGTACATGTGCATATTATACAAATTTTTTAAAGGGATTAAAATTTACTAAAACCACAAGTGGCTTTCTCAGTTTTTAATCATAGTTGGTAAACTCTTTGTAGGGATGGCCAAGGTACTCAATGGGCATAATACAAATATGCATGATAAAAAATCAACAATGAAAGAGTTTTACTTTAAAAAATCATTGCCATTCACTTTCATTTGTTTCTCTACCCAAAAACAAGGCAAGAAACCATCGCTAAGATATCAAACCAGAAAGTGACCTCCCCCAATTGTTCATCTTTATTCTACTTATTTCAGTCGAAATAACTCTACCACTACTTTAACGCTAACGTCAGTTTAAGCCTAAATCTACACTGTGTTTCTGGCCAGTGATCGATGTCATCGCTTAGTCGTAATTATAAAAAATATAATTCTAGTGTAAACTATGTTATCATTACCCCTTGAAGTTTTTTACCGAAATCTGGTGTTCCTTTCAAAAGTACAGAATGAAATAAGAATTACCAGCCAATAACAGATGAACATTAGATGACTGTAACATGTAGAAATACTCAATGATTTATATACTATACAATCGATGTCTTTAGGGAGCCAACCCTTATATTATGTATGAAATGAAGGAGTGAAAAAATCAATTTACATAATATTAAATTTCATAACGCACATTCATAGAATACACTAATCTTCAGTCAAGGGGGAAAATGTCACAAAATGAGTAATATAAAAACATTATGTAAATGTAAATTAATGTAAGATGGCAATGCCAAAAAGAATGCAAACAAAATATAGAGATGATATATATTTATTTATTTATTTCATTCCTACATGACATTAAATTTTAGAACTTAATGTTGCACTGTAAAAGGCACGAGTACAAAATAGTTACGAGGTCGGTTAATTCGACCGACCTAGTGGTGAGAGTCTGTGACGGTTTATAATAATAAAGACGTTTTAACTCAGCTTGATTTTCCTTGTACGAAAGTCCTAGGCTCTTAATTACACTACATTGATGCCTAACTTGACCTGACCATGATATTAAGATAAACTAAACTGCATACCAACAGTTACGAATATATAATTTCTAACTGCAGTGATATTAAAGTCAAGTATGCATTTTACAGTGTAACTTAATTTTAATATTGAAAGTTGTGTAGTAATGATGTATGTATAGTTGTATCCTCCCTATATTCTTGTTTGCATTCTTTTTTGGCACTGTCATCCCTACATCATTTTATATTTACAAAATGTTTTTATTACGTTTTTATTATCAACAGTAGCGAGTTCATAATCCACTAGGCATTATCATTGTCATTAAATATAGAACGTCTGTATAGTAATCATTTATAAAATTAGCAAGTATAGTTTTTCATTATATTCATTCAACATTATTAGGTATAACAGGTTTGGCACAGTTAAACTTGGCTAAGTTTACGCTGGTATGACAGATGAGGCACATTTAAGCTTACCACATCTACGGTAGTATAATAAGATGTTAATTTTATGTCCCCCGGTGTGTCAGCTGTATATTTACGGACTTACAATGCTAAAATTCACGGTTCGATTCCCCGCTGTAGAAACAGCAGAGATCCCAATGTGGCTTTTCTCTAAAACAAACGAACGGGGTTACTTTTATTACGTTTTGTACATTTAGGTTAGTTTTGTTTGAAGCACCACCCCATGAAACAACTAAGGTCGTGCCCTTTTAGCAATATTTTGATGCTAATTAAAAGCATGCGAGTTAAAACATTACATTCAAATGTTGTATTCTAACTTGTATCAATTAAAATTGAAAACCTCAGTTCTCAGGAAATGTAATTACTTTATTGAGGTTTGTTTTCTCTCTATATATATGTAACAGACGTCTATGACTTTGAGGTAAGACTTCTTCAAGGAAACGTTGAAGCTCATTCCACAGACTTTGTACTCCAGGGAGTCCCAACTCCAATCAGCAAGTATGTTCAGGTAGTTCGAGTTACGTACAAAACTGACACAAGCTCGGAGCAAGTACAGCTCTTCAAAGTTCCCAAAACTGAGAAAGTTATTATGGAAGACTTGGTGCCTGGAAGCAGGTAAACGTCCTCTATGTACTCCTATCATTTGTAAAGAACAGATACCTGTTTAGTAAATGAGAAATGATTTCATGCTTCAGTTACTCCTAACTTTTCCTAAGTTATACCTACACTGACTGGCTACTTTATTACTGGACCCCTCCCGCCCCATCGAGTCTCATCACTTTACTTATACGCCCCCATGACTCGGCGGTAAGGCTGAAGGCTTATATCGTTAAAAACCGGTTTTCGATACTCGTGACAGGCATAGCACAGAAAGCCCATCGTGTTACGCTGTGAGTAACAAGAAAGAAAGAAACAAATACCTTACTTACGATAGAACTTGTGATGTCTACAATATGTAGTGACTTTTTCAATTAACACATTTCAACAATTTATTTTATATTAAACGCCTCGGAGAATTAATAAGTTGACTTCTTTAAAAAGAAATAAATATTACGCAGGTACAAGATGTGGGTCGATCTTTATTTGACCAACGGAAAAACAGTAGCTAGTGACGTAATCGATTTCATGACGAAACCAGCAGCAACTCCTAAACCCATTTCTGGTACAACTGGAAAAAAGATTCTAGGTAAGTTACATATTTATTTAACAATAAATGTATAACACATTTGATATACGGATAATTCTTTTCATTAATAAAACTAGACTCTTATTCAAATTTAACATTTTCCCTTCTCCCCCCCCCCCTCCTTGCAGTATTGCGTTGGCTCCCTCTATGACTTAACAAAATGCATATTTTCTCTCTATTATCAGAATATTAATAAATGTGACTTCAGGTAGAGAGCAGAAATTAAAACTGAAATGTTTAGTTAGATATGCCAGGAGTATAAGGAAATTTATATTATTTAACAACGAATATTATTATTTTATTCTTTATAAGATACCTAAAAAACAGATTTAATACACGAGTTTAATTTGAATTGACGATCATTTCCGAGCTGCTGGAGATAAGTAAATCACTTGTAATACTATAGTAGTTCTACGAGATTCTCAAGTTTTTAACCCATTAAAATAATATATTTAAAATAATCTACTTGTAAAGACCCTATTTTATTCGATTTATTATAATCCGATTTGATAAACTGTAACATTTAAACTTATCGTATTGACCTCCAGTACCACATTTGCGGACTTGCAACTCTAGAACCCGGGTTTCGATACCCGTGGTGGGCAGAGCACGGATAGCCCATTGTGTAGTTTTGTGCTTAATTACCAACAAACAAACTTATCGTATTTCACTTACCTTACCCATATGACGCAATAATATTTTTGAGAGGGACAATGTTGTTAGGTATTCAATGGTATGAAAATAGTTTTTTTTTTTTCAAAGACTGCAACTAATTGTGTTCTGGCTCAGTTCATTTTAAGTATTAAAATAACATGTTTTCCGTCAACGATTTTTTTTTACTCTTAATTTAATTAACCAGGTTCAATCTGAATTTATAGCTACGATGCTCAAACTTTTTATTTCATTTTTATGATCAGCAAGTGAAGCCGAAGCTTTCCAGGCTACAGATAGTGGCAGTGATACTAAGAAAACCTACTACGTAGCCTTAATTATTGTAGCCATTGTTGCAGCTGTGGCTGGTCTGGGAGTTATTGTTTTATTGATTATTCTAAAGAGGAAACAACCAAGTACTAAGGTTCCGCTGACTAGGGCGCCCTCAGAATCAGCGTACGATAACCCAACCTATAAGGCAAGTGTACTTTTGAAAAATGGCTTTTTCTATAAAAAATAAAATAAATAAAAATAAATGGTTTCATGAACTATGTTACTTAAACATTGCAAACAATTACAATAGCACAATGAAAATTAATTTGTATGCTTTAGTTACTAAATAGATTTAACAGCATTAATGTCATGTAAATGTGTATTACGTAATACATCTTAATTTATATTTATCTAATTTGTTGCAAATAAATATTAAGGGTTGTGTTATTCAAAGTCCAAACAGTCTCTTTTTTGAAGTTTCTGCCATTGATGATAATTATATGCATTTCTAGCTTCTTATTCTTTCTTAAAATGTGTCTTTTAACATTATTACGACTTGTAAGTTAAAATGAGGGATGTCTATGCTACCTTAATAAATAGTTCCTAGCTAAACCTAATGAAACTAGAAATTTCTTGTTTTATTTTAATCTCGGTTTTTGTGTGTTGCTTTAAACGTAAAAATCGATTCAGTCTTAATATCAAAGGGTATCGACAAATTAATTGACTAATGTTGGTGTTTAGTAATTATCACATTCATTAATTTTGTCAAGTCTCTTGAAAAACAAAATTAGAAATTGATCTCGATCATAAACTTGTGCGTAGTAGAAAATTGACTAATTGCAGAAGTTTTACGTTTTTTTTTTACGTTATAGGCGAAGTTTTATGATTAATTGCTGAGATGCCTTTAACCATAAAAATCCAAATTAATATTTTAACTCCCCGAATAATTCTTAGAAGACTCTTCTTTACAACAGATAGCTTTACTACTCCTGAAAGAGCCATTGGTACAGAGTTGTTTTTTGAGAATTTTTACGTTCATTATTTCTTCGAATATTTATTTGTGTTTAAAAGAAATCTAGATTTTAACACACTCGTTAAGTAAGCAGAAATTTAAAAATGGTTTCAATTATTCATTGTTTGTTTTATGATTAGTTGTTTTGGCTATTATAATCAATTTAAGCTGTTTTCAAGCACTACAAATACATTTTAACTGTATATCGTGTGTCTGAATCATATTTCACTTCTTAAGTAACAATGATGTTTTTCTTCAGTGCACGTAGATATACGTGAACAATTACTTGTATTCTGCAGATTTTACTATAAAATATTGAATCATGTTGCTGAAATACAATAATATATACATTAGCGAATCTATTACACCTTTTCTTCTTGTATTGATTAGTTAGCAACATGAATCTGATTTTGATTTATAAATTAAGGTTTTTGTTCGCTAATAAATAATATTTTTCAGACCTTCGGCTTCGAGGGAGACAACGTAGAAGAGAAAAGTGGAACATTACAGACATAATGCCAATATTTCATATTGTTTCATTTACTACGTATGTTCTATAACAATACCTATACAAATGGTAAAACTAACGAAACGGAGTTATTCCAACAATGAAACATTACTTCTGCTATAATTAAACATAAAGTATAATAATTTTAATACACGTTTGCTTGCTATAGGAACTATTTCAAGCTTTAGTTTTCTTCCTTCTTATCTTCGACAACCTAAAGAAGTAATTAACACATTTAGATTGGCTAGTTCGTTATTTGTGTTAAATGTTGTGATGAATGTAAATTTGAAAGGTTAAATTTCACTTAATATAACGTACATCATTCATAATAAGTTTTTCGTTCTCAAAGCAAAAGACTGGCGGGAAATGATATGAATAGTAGAAATTCCGCCGTGCTTAACGAGCTGTTGTTGAATTATTAGTTAGAACTAAGAAAAGTGTTCCTACAGGAATCTGTTTCTGTTTAATTTCTTACACGAAGAATTCATTATTTAAATTTGACAATCCGCTGTTTTGATTTCGATCGTGTATAACCGTAAACTTAGAAGCTGCAGATATTACTTCTTGATTCTTGTTTGAACACTTTACCTAGATATAGTTTAATAAATATGTCTGATAATAAATCTCCGGTACAAAAACCGTTCTACTGGTTCTCGTGATAAGCTTAGTAAAACAGAAATAATACGAATAATATAGTTTGAAAATTTGTCATTTTTAAGTAAAGTTGTTTTGAAATCAAAGTGTTATGAATTTGAAAAATTGCTTCTGTATAGCCAAACTTTTCAGTAAATGGACTGTGCAAGTTTAAGAGCTAAAACCGACCGCTAGGTAGAACTGCAACTTATACGAGTGTTAAATCAATTATTAATGCCAATAGAGGATTATGCCAAGTGTATAAAGTTCTAGTTGAAAAAATGGAAGTTTATACACAAGTAATGTGAAATCTGTGTTTCAAGCTATATCTTTTGGATTGTATATTATGTGTTGTATTTATTCGTAACAATTTGCTTTGAATGGCATAAAACATTAATTAAGTAGGCCTTTCAAACAAATATTTGGTCTTACGTTTGTTTAATTCGATACATGTATTGTAAAATCTTGAATATATGTTTCGTATTTTGTAGTGCAAAATGCAATTATATGTAATATAATAGTGTTAAATCTAAAATAATGAGCTTAAAAACTATGCGTAAAATATTACTGAACTGTAGAAAAATTGTATTTGTATATTATATTTAATAATAGTTGTTACTTTTTCTTGTTTTTTTTTTTATTTCCGTACGGTAATAGTCATATCCTTTTCACATTTGTTAGACAAACCTTTAACGTTACGTACTTAG